CACTGTACAAAGAAATGCCATTAGTGTGTGTGTGTGTGTGTGTGTGTGTGTGCGTGCGTGCGTGCGTGCGCGTGCGTGCGTGCGTGCGAGCGAGCGAGCGAATATGTGCGTCTAGTTCAGACAGTTCAGACTGTCCAAAAACAATTTCATCATCTTGATAAAGTTAATATGGACGAGCTTTTAAATTTTCAGGATTCGTTTTCTTTGGAAAATTAAAAGTTTTTCCACGAGCAAGTCATGGAATTCGTAATGAAATCTTTGGCCAACTCCATAACACATGTCGTTTTCACAAATCTTTCAGTTAAGGAGGTGAATTTTGAAAACTGGCATGCCAATAGTCAATTATACTTCGAGAAATAACTATTGGTAAATCTGGATCTAGTGAATCATAAGCATCAGAGGCTAGACGTTTCGACGTTGCCAAGAGCACAATTTCCCGACTTTGGTCACGATATTGGCAACTCAGCACCCCTTGAGATTTTCTCACAACCAGAGCAGTTCAATCTTGCTACATACGGGTCCTTGACCTTCAAAGTAGGACATTCACTGTTACGTGCACTTCAACACAAACTCCAACATCTACGGGCGGAGACTATTTGCACCCGTTTACGGTCACTCATGCGTTGGCGTTGTTTTACTTCAACGTAAATGACGATGTCGATGGAGGAAGTTAAATGATGTGAAGAGTCATCGCTGGAAAACAACAGTTCATGCTCTCACTCAACTTGAGGGATCCGTGTTGTAATGACATCTTCTTTCGTCCTACTGTCATGTTGCAGTAGAGTGAGTGAGTTGGGTTTTACGCCGGTTTTAGCAATATTCCAGCAATATCACGACGGGGACACCAGAAATGGGCTTCATATATTGTACCCATGTTGGGAATCGAACCCGGATCTTCAGCGTGACGAGCGAACGCCTTTACCACTAGAGTACCCCACCACCCCTGTTGCAGTAGAAGACTACATACACAACCGTACAGCTTCAAGAACAGTGTAACGTACAGTGTCACATATCAGTCTTGAAGGAACTATGAAGGAACGTGATGAACCAGGCGCCGCAATTAGCTGTACACAGTTGCGCCCCTTGGGTACGCCAGAACCCCCGACCGTGGGTTCAATCGACTATGTTTCTAGATTTGTCACCACCATACCCATGCTCATACGTTTAATAAGATTGGTAAAGGTCTATGGCCAGCACCACTTAGGGCTTTTAGGCACACAAGCCGTGATGGAAATGGAATTCTGTTCCAGGCGGCGTTAAACATAGGTCACTCGCCTGTTTCCTGTACCTGCCTACAAGTCTGTTAACCTTAGATTATCCCCAAGACGTTTCTGTTCTTCACTGACAAAAATACACTCTTCTCCGGATAAAGATGAGACTCTTAAAACATTTTTGGGAGGGGAGGTGTATTAAAACATGAAAACTTCATCAAACTAGCATTCTAATACCCCGCAGTAGGAATGATGGATCGAAATGTGAAACACTTTGCAATAATTACTTGAAGAGTCACTCATTATCCTGTGAAAGGAAGAAATACCATCGTTTAATGTAAAGCGTAGGAACAAATGATGTATTCCAAGTCCTAGCCTTTCTCATGAATTCCACTGGCAATCATTATCCTGTGAGAATACTTCGCAGTACACAACTTAAGACGCTTACTGAGCGTGACTATCAGTGAGAGGGCAACAAAACGTGGTCGTGATCTATCACTATTTGGCTATCGATTCCCCATAAGCCGTGTCTAAACATGTGAAAAAGTGTATATTTTCAGAATACTTTTTTAAAAAGACGTTTTAGTCATGTATTAAATTTTCGCCCTGGACTGTCGTGAACTGTAAACTTTGGCTCGACAGAGACCTCTTGAGACAGTTTTCAGTCGGTGGCTTGACATAAAGCACCGACGAGAGGCGTGTCGGGTCTGCAATATCACTTGTGGGAAGGGTTGGGTGACTCTTACAAGTCATTCACAGCCTCCAAGTCATCCAGAAGGGGGCGCAAATCACGTCTTTTCTCGCAATATTGTCAGGCCTATTCGTGACCGTGCGTGATCAGGCCACATTTCCATTCGTCCATTAGCAAAGGATACCCCAGGCCACCTGGTTTGTGGACCAAAAACACTCTAATTTCCCGGGACACTTTTCAGTGGATTGTGGTGGAAGGCAAAAAATGGCCTGGACAACCAAAATGACTGGTCATAATTGCTTTAACTGGAGCTCTAAACCGGTCATTGGAGGCTCCAATTAATACATCGAGGACCCAGGGGCTAAACTATTCCATCATTACACTGTAGCAAGTGAAAGCCTCATCCCGAAGGAGTGGACCGCCATGCTTGGACGTGCTGTGATGGGGCGAAGACTGATCTATAGCTAGCTCGTTCCGAAAGCCTTTCGATAAATGTCAATGAAAAACGGAACCAGAGACAAAGTGAGCTATTGTTCACTCAGAGGTAATAAGTTTTGCCAGAAAGAAGACTTCATTTAACCGTCCCGGAGGGCTTCGTAGTTGGATATATGGTACCCAGCGCTGAAGGGGGATGGAAGAAGTTGTTCAAAGTAACAATTATAGAAATAGCCCGGCTGGCTTGTCGATTACACATCGCTAAATCAAGCGTTGTAATGCCAAGATTGTACCAGGTGATGTGTAACTGTTGTCAAGTTGATTTAGGAACACGTCTGGGAATGATAATGTGTATTTTGTAAGTTCTTGTTAACTGTTGATTTCTTGATGTTGACATACAGTAATGCAACAGGACTCGTAATGGTGTTAGGATTAAAGTGTTGTATATTGTTTCCTTCTTCAGTCGACATCGAACTTAGACAACTGTTTTAACGTTACCCTTAGCGAAGGATCGGTCACATTTACATTCAAAATATATATATGTTCTTTAATAAATTCAACGTTTTGATTATTTTAGATTTAGATTTGGGAACGATCTCTTGAAATGAAATGTTTGAGGTTTTTTTGTTTTGTTTTGTATGTGTCATGTGAAATTGTTGCTTGTTTGATTGAGTTGTAATCACATGTATACATACAACTACTGGTTAACAGTTACCGTTGTCGGTGGATTGGGTTGATTCTGTCGTTGACAGGTACAGGGTGACTCTGTAAGAGACAGGTGTACGGCTGATTGTGTTAGAAACAGATACGGGCCGTATTCTGCTATGGACAGGTGCGGGGGTGATTCTGTCATGGGGGATACTGGACTGAATCTTTCAACGATAGGGGTTTTATGGACAGGTGCCGGGTTGATTGTCTTATGAGCAGGTGCGGAGTGGACTGAAAGGAGTGGGGTCAATTATCTAAGAGACAGATGTGGGGTTGATGCTGTGAAAAAAAAACAGGTGCCAGGTTGATCCTGTCATTGCGGGATAGTGGGTTGAATCTGTGATAGACAAGAGTCTTATGGACAGGTGCCGGGTTGATTTTTATATGGACAGGTGCGGATGGATTCATTAAGAGGTGCGGGCTTCATTCTGTTAAAGGCAGGGATAGGTATGAAACTGTAAGACACAGTAATAGGGTTGATTCGGGTTGATTCTGTCATTGAGAGTTACGGGGATGATTCTAAAGAGACAGGTGCCGGATTAATTATCTTATGGACAGGTGTCAGGTTGATTCTGTCGGCTGGAATGTTCATTCTGTTTTCGATGGGTCCGAGGCGGACTGTGTCTTTGAGGATGATGTACGATGCTTCATTGTCTTATGGGTAAAATCGTTTGGTCTGTCTTCGAGATGACGAAACCGAGAGTTCGAGGAAATGTGGGTTCATAAGTAGGTTTCAAATGTAACCGTGTTCGACAAAAGAAAGTATATCAGTTAAGTTTCATAACACTATTATCCCACCCAAGAGCTTCACCATAACATGTTCTGCTGTGATTCTGTTCTAGAGTCACTCGTATGCTGTTGTTTGGTTCTATTAGCTATTATTTATCTTTGCCGTAAATGTCATGACCCAAGAGTCATGTAAATAGTGTAGACATTGTACATGTATTAAACCTCATGAAGGCTGACATTCTAATTTCCTGTTATTTTCGATAAAGTAGAACACTCTTATCTCATTAAGAGCTCAGGAAGAAAATGCGTAATTACCTTAAGCTGTTTCTCATCAAACCGCCAGGTTCTTAATACCGTATAAGTAGTGAGCAGGGCAACCATCACTGCATATTTTCAAATCAGCGATCAATATTCCCAGCATTAATTGATACGTTATGGCTGTGTGTATACTGCTCCTTAAGCGGTAAGAATGTTTTGTTCAGTTGCACTTTTCAGGTGCAAATCCATACATAGGTTCATGGTGAAAACATTCACAAAGAATTCATAAGATAGGTAATCGATCTCTCGGAACTGTCTAGTATGCTAGCCAAACACTGTGGACTTTAGACCCAGCATAGGTTCGGGACAGGACTGGCAGATCATGAAATGACAATGTTAATAAAAATACGATGATCATTTAACCTAAATCAAACAAATTTCAAAATTTTAATGTATATCAACTTCTTAAGTCAATATGTTACACCAGAATAGTGTTCAATTTATCAATCTCCAGGTGTGATACAATAACAAACACTGTTCACCTACAACTACTAATTGTTCACTTATCTTCAGCAATCGAAACCTCCTCTATACATCCCACCTCTTGTAGTCTCGTCTCCTTCCTATCCTATTCCACCTCCTACTGCAATGTAATTAGAACGGATGAGCGCCATTGTTTGGTGTAACAGGTATTCCCCTGCAACACAGATGATGTGATCTATTCACATCCCAAATACTCCCAGCACACTGGGCCCCTATAACATGCATCGATCTGTTGCAGAAGCATCTTCCGTAAACAAATTAGATCGCCTGAAAACGAATTTAATTCCAGGATTAGGAAAACCAGACAAAGGCAAGCTACTTATGAGGGTTACAAATACGAGTTGGGGGCAAATAAGATTTTCAAGACAGTCAAATGGACAGTAATTTTCTTCCCATTGCTAAAGTTTGTGTTTATTATCCTTCAGGTCAGGCGCCATGACAGCCCCGGCCTGGAAAGAACGAACAGCAGTGGACTGACAAGACCAAATGGGGAGCACTAATCTGTATTGAAAACACGGCCTCGCAATGCTGAATCATTCAAGCATGCTGGTCACGGAAATGGTGACCAGCGCAGGCGATTACAACGCCACCGCCGACTGGACAACGTGGCCCACCGTTGACCACAACACCACCGACGCAGATGCCAACACGACGGATGAACCACAACGCTATTTTCCTGCTGGGTACCCTAGCGGATACACCTGGGCCCACATCATCTTCGCAGCCATCTTGGTGACTATTGTGATGCTGATGATCGTGATTGGTAACTTCCTCGTGATCTGGGCCATCATAACGGACAGGAATCTGAAGGCCACACAGAACCTCTTCATAGCTTCTTTAGCTCTGGCCGACTTCCTCATTGGCCTCATAATTATCCCGTTCTCACTTTCGAACGAGCTCATGGGGTATTGGTTCTTTGGAACAATCTGGTGTGAGTTATGGAAAGCCATTGATGTCCTGCTATGCACTGCATCCATCTCAAGCCTATGTTTAATAAGTTTAGATAGGTACTGGTCGATAACTCGTGCCATTCACTACTCCCGTCAACGGACCCCCAAGAGAGCGACGATCATGATCGCAATTGTATGGGTGGTGTCTGCTGCTGTTTGTATTCCTCCGTTGATTGGCTGGAAGGCTCCTCGTCAGAAGGATACAACTTACCCCATGTGCAACCTCAGTGAAGATATCGGGTATGTCTTGTATTCCTCCATAGGGTCCTTCTATATCCCGGCTATAATTATGGTGTTTGTGTATTATAAAATCTACCAAGCTGCGAAAATGCGAGCTCGTAAAACTGTCACCAAAGCGCCAAAAGCAGCCCTTGGTGGAAAGGGGGAGCAGAAAAACTCAACGGAATCGAGCGTCACGGAACAAGGTCACGGTAACGAGACCAAAGGTCACGATGAGAACGAGGAAGACTTTGAAGAGCCGGGGCAAGAAAAACAAGGCCACGAAGCATACACAACGGATGACGATACGGCAATGCATGTGCAGACATCCGATACTAACACAATCTCCCAGCCTTTGCCGAGTGATGAAATGGCGAAGTTGATATCCACAGACTCGGACTCGACATGTGATATTTCATTACGGACCCTTAACAGGGGAGATAATTCCAGCAGGCTTGGGACAAGTACTCTCCTGACAAGTGATACAGAGTCATCTTCGGAACAACACCGAAGCCTGCTAAGCTCCAATGGAAAAGAAAGGGATGCGAACACCGACTCAGGCCCGGAGCCAGGGAACGGACAAGTTCACCAGTTCACAATAATTGAGCCCAAACAAAACGGAACCCCTTCTGTCATAACCCCGAACAGACAAAAAAGGGATCGGAACCGTTTTCTTGGTAATATTACTCGCCATCTTTTCAATGCTAACCGGGAGAAAAAGACTCCCAAAAAGTCAGATGAAATAAAGGAAAAACCGACAGATTATTTCTCAGCAGAGAAGCACAAGCGAAAACTTGCCAAAGCCCGCGAACGGAGGGCAACAGTCGTGCTTGGACTTGTGATGGCGGCCTTCATCTTGTGCTGGCTGCCATTCTTTATTCTCTATGTAGCGTCTGCCTTCTGTGTGGATTGTATTCCAAGAGTGGTGTTCACTGTGTTTTTCTGGATTGGATACTGTAACTCCGCCTTAAATCCCATTATCTATACCGTATTCAATAGAGACTTTAGGAAAGCTTTCGGAAAAATCATTTTTGGGAGGCGATGGGCACGAAGAGGATAGATTGAATCCAGTGAACCATGTTAATTCTGCCGTATATTTTGTTCAAAAAACGTCAGTCGGTGTATATAATGTTTCCATCATCATATATTATATCGTGCCGTTGTTTTAGTTTTAGAAAGCAAAATATACAGCAGCGACAAACGTTGTTCCACGAGCTCTCCTTGAACACAATTCGGACACAACTGAGGACCCTTCCCATTTAATCTCTCCAGCTCTGTAGCCTGTCCTTTGCCTCCAGAAGAGGGTGCTTGAAATAAATACTCTTAACCATTATACAAAACGATTGTTAAAAGGTAATATTTTAGATAACGTAATTATATTTATTTATGAAGCACTAATTGTACATTTTTTATGAAACCAAAATTAAATTGGATTGAAATTCACCAAAATATTTGGGAAAGGTATAATTGTTAGATTCCGTTCGGCATTTAGTGCTTATTTTGGTCAAAAACATTTTGATATTCCAAGTACCCTCTTGCAGATGATGGAATCCCACAAGACACCCCGTAAAGACCCCTGCGAGGGTTCCTTGTGGATAGAGTGTGTAGCGATTGCGTGAATACAGAGATTTTAAATGGAAAGAGAATATGTTGTCTGTGCAACAACGGAGATATGCTTGTGCAACTTGCACCGTGTTGGCTATGTAACCTTTTCCGGGATATGTATTATATATAACCTATTTGTGTCATTATTTTTAAATTCGGAAAAACGTTTCCAGTTATCTGTTATATTTAAACTGTTATTTGGACTTATTGTTAACCTTGATATTATGACGCTAACAATGTTAACATTTACAAATTAATATATATTTTAAATGACTTTGTCTTGGTAGCTGTAATATTTGAGGTTACATAAACGTTGGTGATATATTTGATATCCTGGTCAAAATTTAACATCATGTGCCCAAAGAACAATTCACTTGAATGATGTGAAGATCACTGTGCTTCTAATGGTTCCTCCTCATTGACTGAATCCACATAACTGCACTGTTGTATAGTATTTAGCATCATTCACAACGAATCACAAATGATTGTTTTGTACATAGTAAACGCCTTTCACCCCTTGTATTGTGTTTACTTGTACATGCATAACACCCGTAGGCTGAAATGTTATGAAATACCGTACGTCCTACTAGAACCCCGCTGAATATACTTTAGGATGACTGAAATTATCAGGCGCCAACGAACATCAGGTACCAGTGATTCGCAGATCTGCTTTTGTTAATCGTGTTAATCCTTGACAAGTTTGTATGATAAACGATGTTGATTCTAGCATCGGTACTAGTGTGATAAATATATTCATCATCAGGTTTGAAGCCCATTTTCGTCCATATTATGCGCTTTAGGTTTAGCAGCATACACGTACGCGTGGGTTTTAAGCAAATTTCTTGAATTCCTCCAAGACAATGCTGACACTTCGTGGTATAACTCACTCACTCACTCACTTACACACTTACTCACTCACTCACTCACTCACTCACTCACTCACTCACTCACTCACTCACTCACTCACTCACTCACTCACTCACTCACTGAATGGGCTTCACGATTGTTCCAACTTGGTTAATCGAACCCGGATGACGGCTTGACTAAGCACCATCTTGTTTTATCCAGGCGAGTGAACAAGCCTGTGTCGTTACCAACCGCCTTAAATGGTTCTAGTCATGGAAAACATACGCCTTTACGAACACTGTATATTACTGTAGGAAACAGAATGGTAGGATCAGAGAAAAGCATTTCCGCTTGGCGTGACATGGGTACATCGCTTGAAGCCGTATGTATAAAAATAAGTGCTACTCACAGATTTTATTGAGAATGGTTCTTGATAAAAGTACTGTACGTATATTATCTCCTAAAAAGGCAAAACTCTGAAAAATTAGCAGAGAACAAGAAAAATAACATCATTCCCAAAACGAAAATCTTTCATTGCCTCTCCTACCCAGATTACATTTTGAAGTACTGCTCGTGTCTATGGATGTCGTGTTGAAGGGGGAAACGTTGTTTGAAGTGCCTGAAGGCGTGACTCAAGCACATACACACACAGTTTAGTGTTCCCTTGATAAAAAAATTGACTGAAATCAAAATCCATCTATCGATCAGCATCTTTGTATGTATTTTCACGTCCATCTTCAGTGACAGTCAACTCTACTCCTCAAGTGCCGCCTTTCTGTTGATTTGTGATAAGGGGTGAAGATCAAAGACGAAACTCTGTAACTTCCCAACGAGAAACGCCGCTTCATCACTTCTCAGTAACCAAACTTCATGTTTTTTTCAGTTACATCCATTCAGATTGAAAACGAGTTTGGTTTTGTAAACATTCTTGAGGATCTTTTCAAGTTGTGCGTGACTGTGTGGAAATGTTCTTTATCGCCGCAGCTTGAAAAAATCGTATTCCATATCACGGCGGCTTGTAATTAGGTGTGGACAGAAGTAGCAACTGAAAGCATGAACCACAGACTACGCCATCTGACCGCAACATTTGACCACGGTGGCGTCCCATCGTCAACGTCACTGTGCCTGATCTACCGTTGTTCTCTAGTGGACGATTTGCACGACATAAGGAAAGAAACTTGTCACAAGCAAGTACAACGTATACGGTAACACATACGTTGCCCTCAAAATAGAAGAGGTGCGGTAGCCTGGCTATTGCATTGGTTGCTGTAACGCTTTCATCCGTCATGGACAATAATCCACAGGTGGGTACGTTATATTAAGCCCACTCTTATGATGTCCAAGTAACTAACAAGGAGTCAGGTAGAAGAAAATCAAACGTCGCCCTAAGTAAGGGGTACCTGGGCATAGGGTTAAGCCAGTTCTACACGTTTTTATCCGTCATTCCAAAGACTCCGATTCGATTCCACAGATTGGTACAATGTGGTAAGCTCTTTTCATTATGTTCAAGTCCCAAAGATACGTAAGTCCCAAAACGTTCAAAGTCAATTTAACTCAACCATGCTTTTTAAACGTAGAATACTTGTTATTTTATATTATGGCTAAATTTCTCTACCATCGCCAGCGGCTGAGGGATGGTGTAAATCCAGCTAGGGTCCATGCAGGTAGTAAAGGCACTGTAAGTCCTCATGGTCGCTAGTATGGTGATCTACCTTCAGATGGTGGCGATCTATAGCCAGATTTTATATTGTGTTGTTTTGAAATGATTTACCATTTTACACTGAACTCAAACTAGTTTTAAGTAATGTTTGATAATCAAGTGGTTATACTGTCCTTCGCAGCAGGTTTTCCAAAAGTATAAATACTTTTATTCTTAGTACATAACTTTTTATCGTCACGATATGGCTGAAATATTGCCGATGTGACGTACAATTTTAACTCCCTTAAGTCACAAAGAAGGAGTCTGTAAACGAAATTCAAATGTCAGAAAAGGCGTGGTGGGGAGCGTAGTTCTTGGCGCATAAGTGAATGAATAAATAAATGAATTTACATCCAAAGATTTACCATATATGGTATTTACAAATACATGGTGGGAGCATTGGCATAAAAAGAGGCATGAGCTTTGGTAACACAAGATGTATAAGTATATATTCTGAATCATCTATGAATACAAATGCGAGAGTATAAAGGGGTAATATAAAACATGTTCAAGATATATTGACAGAATATTAATGATATACTTCATCCAGTACTCAAGCTCATAATTCCAGATTCCAGAACTGAGCTCCACACTAGTGTAAGTATATCATTCTCTTACAGACGTTCAACGTGAACATAACTTTCAACATCCAGTTCGTCAATGAGAGTGGAGAAGAAATCAGTTTGATCGTTTATAGCGAAGTGTAAAAGTACATAATTCCTCGTACTCCCTCCACAAATACATGCAGCGGCGAGTCAAGTGTTCACCTGAAGAAACTCTTCGTTTTCTTCCAATAGGCCGTATTCGTCCTATGTACCTATGTTACTGAGATGTATGGAATACGTAATTCAGAAGGAAGCACCTCACACGTCCATAAACAAACCATGAACCAGTATGATATATCAACTAAACAGATTAACAAAACAGTTTAATACTTGATTGTCCAGTATAGTACATCTTTATTCAAGTATAGCATAAACTGAGCACCCGATCTACATTATAAGTTGTTCACTGGTCACGAGGGGGGCATAGGTTGATGTACCCTAGATGTTTGTTTATGTTCCCTGAGGCCGAAGGGCGAGGGGAAGATAAACAAACATCGAGGGTACATCAACCCATGGGCCTCGAGGGACCAGTGAACAACGTATTTATCTTACCGAACACCTTAATGTTAAGTTTGAATTGTTTGCAGCACGGGTGCAAATCTTTTTGTAGCCATCCCTAGATTTTGCTGACAATAAAAACAGATTTAGAGTTATCTCCCTTCCATCGATTTGCACTCGCAAAACATCGGTAATTTCCGTGCATCATATACGTGATTCAATGTAATTCGAGATAAAGAATTACAACCACGAAGTACCAAATGAGTTGTCATTGACAGCGGGGTACATTGAAATGTTACTCGCTTGTAAGCGGGATACATTGAAAATAATAGAAGAGCGCTCAGCCAATCAGAAAGCGACATTTATGTGTGAGGTAAGATAAGAATACTTGACTATTGGAACGTTGGAAAGACACCGCAGCCTCTTTTCGAAGGCAAATCAATTGTTCACAAAAATACGACTTGAATGTAGTAACCTTCATCAAATAATTTAGCATGTCTGTCTTTCAAATTGATCTGTTGTACCTCATGATCATCAAAAATGTGAAACATAGACACTAATGACTCTCAGTGTAGACGTGTCATGGGTGAAATGATGGTTCTGTGGGCAAAGGGCCCCGGTTCAACTCTCAAAGGGGATATATATGTGAGCTCCATTATCATGGCTCATCTTCAAATTTCTGGACTGTTAAAAAGAAGTGCCTGGAATCTATTCTTAATTCAGACTAAAAAAAGTTACAAACTGAATTAGATTAAATAAATATGTAATTTCCATCAATCCCATGTGGAAACGTGTCATTATTGGTTTTGCACAATCGATGATACTGATGACGAAGCGGACAAGAGGATACTTTTCATATATCACATCAAATTTGTGCCTCTGAGTAAAATACGTGACGGAATATAAAAAGCATGTCTGAAATGCTTTGGTTTGCATTTGTAAACGTAGAAATCCGGTTATTTATCGATTCACAGAGCTGTCCTAATGTGTTAAGATAGTGCAAGTTTGCACACACTCCTAAATCAACTCTAACAGACTCGGAGAGTAGGACTCCCTTGGAAAGCTTGTATGGATTGTACAACAAGCTTCTCTTCATCGATGCCTATTACTTACACATATTTATCATACTTTTTTCACACCGTATAAGGAAGGTTGGCATGTTCATGGGGCGGAAAATCAATTTAGGCTGTAAAAAGGGTCGATTCTGGTAGTACATTAGTGCCAGGCTAGTTCACTGCATTTCTGAATCTGAGTTCTCAGTTTACAAAGGCAGGAAAAATAGATCAGAATATTGGTAATCCTGTTTGGTCGTTTAGAACTGGTTTTAGAAATTGTTCTTGTGGACTTAAAGTTCTTACACAATACTAATACTTACTCAGAGTAACGTGTGCATTGTCTGTTGAAAGTAAACACAAAGCGTTCTAAATGTAAATAGATGCATTCTGGTCACATATCGATTACATACTAGCCAATTAATATGGTCCATTTGATCACACTTCACGTCATCGTCTCTTGGACTATTTAAGGGTTTAGTTCTAAATGTTAAAAGATTTAAAAAAAAATTGTTTGCTCTTTTTTTCATTATTGTTTTATTCTAATGGCATAAAGGTTGTTTGAAGCAATGTGATAAGAATCGTTCCCTTCCAAGGTATTCTGGTCAAGTGGTCAGGCTCCATAGCGTGGTCAGACTCCATAGCGTGGTCATAATGCTCATATTATCAGCCATATGAGTATCTCATACAGATATTATTATTCGCATTTGGAACTGTACGATCGACTCTGGTTTTAGCTTATGGGAGATTTCCTTTGTATGTGTTTGTGAGGAGTACGATCGGTGGGGCACATGGTATCGGCACTGTTTGATTCAATTC